AAAATGTGCATTTTTGTCTTTAATAATTAGAAATACTTCCTCAATACTGCTTTTCCCTTTGTGTAGCAAAATGACGCATTTTGATGTATTTTCTTTCTTGGAGTAAGTTAGAGTATTTATGACAGCCAGAAATTTATTGTCTCTGCTCATCGTGTTGTAAAGATTTTTATTTCTTTGAAGAAATTAATTGATGATGTGTGAGGTCGTGTATACATATTTTTGTATATCTTCTGATTTAACTTCTGTTTTCGTGTACAATATATACTTCGTGATGGTTTTGCTATTGTTGTATTAGTTGATGTACGCGTTCCTTCTTGAAACATTGTCAATTCCGCGTTTAGTATTTCACGGATTTTTTTGAAGTCAACTCAATGTTAAAATAGAAAGTGATGACTTCTACAAATCAGTTCTTCTCTGTAATAGACCATTTACATATAACCATTTTTTTTTCATTTTTGTTTAATTGTGAGTTATTAGCATGTTTTGAGTGCCATTTCAAGTTTTTCGTGTTTTTCCAGTTTTATTTTGAGATTTTTTCAATATTTCTATGATTTCCTTTTGAAAATGAAGTTTTATTTTTAGTTTGGAGTCGAATTTGGTAATTGCATATATTTTCATTCTTTGATTAATACTTTCACTCAAACCTTGATTTTGGGCTGGGGAGATTTTAGTGTGTTGTGGTATGTTGGCGATGGTGTTTTCTTCTCTTTTGTTTGTTTCTTCGTTATCATCTAAAAAACAAAAAAAGAAAACTTGTTAAATACAACTTTTACATTTGGTATGTTTTTTTTCTGAAAAACAAAAAATAGAAGAATAACATTTTACCAATAAAAACACGAAAGAAATACAAGTGGGTTTTTTTCGCCGACTATATAACAATAATTTATTTGGTTTTTTGTTGGTAATTATAAGCACATTGATACGTGTAACAATTGAACAAAGTTTGTCTCTCGTCGCTGTAAATTGTTTAACACGTTCAAAACAGAAACGTAATAATAATAAGTTTTTATTTTTTTCTTTCACCCAAACCCTTTTTGCCTTCATACCCAAAATGATTTTTAGTAATTTTCTATTTATTTTTTAATCAACTCAAATTTGAATTGTTTATCTTTTGGTCACATTTAACATGAGAGTGTTAAACAAACAAAAATGTATCAAATGTATTTTTGACATTCCAATAATCTAGAGTCTTTGTTTTTTTTTGTCATTACATAGATACTATTTTTAAAAGTAAACAACATGTTGTCTTTTCTTTTGTATCAACTTGAATAAATAGATTGTCAAAGCCTGTAATTCTTTAATTATTATTAGAAACTAATGACTCATATCATTCTATAAAAAAATTATTTGTTTATACAAAAAATATGTTGTTTTTTAAATGATATAAAAATACTTAAATAAATTTCATATTGTAAAATTTAAAATAACACAAAGACAACAACATCATTGAATTAATTGTCCCATGGGAATTTAGTGTTAAGCTTGCAATCCTTTCTCATTGCTTCCATCTCTGATCTAGTTACGTCTGGGATGAATACACCCTTCTCCTTTCTGTCGAGCATGGTGTAGTATTCCTTCTCTCCTGGGGTCCAGATTCTTTCAGCGCCTGGGGCTTTAGCAGCAGCTCTGAGTTCTCTGCAGATGTCTCCGACTTGCTTTTCGAATTCCTTGAGTGGTCTGAAGCATTCAATGTTGATAGCCATGAAGTATTGTCCAAGTTCAATTGGGACCTTCTTTCCGTCCTTCAATCCGGAGCATCCTGATAAGAAGTTGGCACCAGACAAGCATGATGACAAGATTTCAACCAAAGCAGCATATCCGTATCCCTTGTGGCCTCCCATCTCTTCACCATATCCACCAAGTGGATAGCAAGCAGCAGTTCCCTTTTGGAAAGCTTCAAGCATTGGTTTAGCTTCAGTCAAGACTTTTCCTGATCTGTCACAAACCCATCCCGGTTGGCATTTCTTTCCTTCTCTGGCATACATTTCAATCTTTCCTCTCTGGACAATAGAAGTAGCACAATCAAGGCAGTATGGGAATGGCTCATCTGATGGGAATGAGAACACAAGTGGGTTGGTTCCGAGTTTTGGTTCGACGGACCAGCATGGGCAGACGGATGGTCTAGCATTGCAGCCGGAAAATCCAATGAGTCCTTGTTGTGAGGCCATTTGTGGATAATACCCAGCAATACCAAAGTGAGTGCCATTCTTTACGACTACCATTCCAAGTCCATGTTTCTTGGCTTTGTCAATAGCCAATTGCATTGCTTGCATAGCAATAGAGTGTCCCATACCATTGTGTCCATCAACTACAGCAGTGGTGTCTGTCTCTTTAATAACATCAAAAGTAGTCTTGGTGTACAATTGACCAGCATCAATTCTGTCGACGTAAACGGTTTTGAGTCTTTGGATACCATGAGTGTCCATACCTTGCTTATCAGCTTGAATAAGAACCTTGGCGCATCTAGCGGCATCAGCTTCTGCAACACCTTTTGCCATTAAAACATCTTTCATGAACTTCTCGAGCTCTTCGAAGTGAATTCTGTACTTGGCGTCTGACATCTGGATGAACAAGAAGAGTCTCGAGGAAGTTAAATAATCATCCACACGTTGCTACTCGTGGACAAGTAAACACCAAATTTAAAATATTATACTCCTTGGTTCTTTTTTTGGTATCTTCATTGAAATGTCAACTTTTTCAAAACGATCTATTTATAGAACTATTGTTTTTATTATCAAAAAGGTGCAATGGGATTGAAATTGCCATTGTTGAGCAATTATCTTCGAACTATTCAATCTTAACGTTTCTAATCAACCTTATAATTATTTAAACTAGTATTAAATAGTTATTAAAATAACAGTTTTGTTCTGCTTAATACTCAGCCTTTTTCAAATTTGTTTGGTAAAGAAATACACATTTTGGTTTTTGTAAGTTAAGTTTGTTATTAAGTTATTAAATAATCGGGTAAATTACGATTCATGCGGTCATCTTACAAAAAACAATTTAGAAACCATTGTAATGTATATTTTCTAGTTGAAATTTGTCCAATAATCATATTTTGCATTTAAAAATTTTTATCATTATTATTGATGATTAATTTTCTGTGTATTTACTTATTAAATTGTATTAACTCGTCTATTTTAATA